ACACATTTTCAGCTGTGGCAGACGGAAAGGAGGGAATAGACCAACCACACCTCCTGAGGACGGGAGTTTCTTAATTTGGGAACAGCCACAGAAAAAACTCTTTCTTGGGTCCTTGCCAGACATGGATGTGAAAGTGGGGGACCAAGAGAAGACACCCCCATGACGTTTTTAATACAATTACGGGCTTCAACAGGGAGATAAGAGAGATAAGAGTTCAACAGGCTGGACCCAAGCCCTAAAGGGCTTTAAAAGTAATAACTAGCACTCTGAATAAGGCCAAGAAATGAATCGACAGCTAACAAAGCTGTTGTAACATGAGGCTTACACAGTCATGGTAACCAGCCCCAGTGAACAGTCTGGCTGCAATATTCAACACCAGGGTACAGCATATTGCAGTAATCCAAACATGTAACTAACGCATGTAGTTTTACCATGTACAGAGTGCTATTTTCATCTGTGCATAATTGAGTAGTATGTATCCATTGATTTGCAATCTTCTTTTGTTATTATGAATAGTATAATGACCAGACAGTTATTTGCAATTAAATATCACATTTTCCCCCAATGTGGGTGTTTCTTTTCATCAATATATGCATACCTATCGGATGTGCTATCCTTACACCATGCTCTGATACATAAAGATTAATGAACAATTATCTTCTTGTCCTTGATGAAAAGGAGTGTTTTGATATACTGAGACACACTGAAAAAATGGGCCACTACTGAGAGCTTTTATGCTGCTATTTGGGAATAGGAAGATGAACACCTTTTTTCATAAGCATCAGCATTCACAGAAACTTGTTTGTGTGAAAATCTTGAACATTTCAATTAAAAAATATTGTGTTTTGCACAAAATACCAGACTTCTTGCACAGAAATAGAGCTTTTCCACTTCCATACTTTTTTCCCCCTCAAAAGAAGTGCCAGAAAATTCTTGCAATCTGGCCTAGTGGGGGCAACCTTTTTATCTGTAATATCTCCTTCTGGCCAGAAAATGAAAAATGAGGATGGACTGTGAGGGAACACAGAGACAGGAGAAAGGATCCTGTTCAAGATGCAGGGTGAGCTGGAATTACAACAGAAATTGGAACAAGCAAGAAGACCCAGCGGAAACAATGTGAGGATGAGAAGAGACGTAAGTTGAAAAAGAGCAGACCCAAACACCTGCATTTTGAACTTGATTTTAAAAACCATGTTAGAAACTTTATACATTTTTTTTATAGTTTTAAATATTTATTAACAGATTTAGCTACTGACAGAATACAGTTATGGTATGGATGTCACCTAATCTTCATTTGTGATGGTGATAATTCAGATCAAGGTTACTTCTGTTGGACATGGATATTCAGGTTGGCAGTCTCACAGATGACTTATTAAATTGCTTGTCTGCCACCTTTTTTCTCACTTTATTATATGAATTCTTATATGAAGAATATGAAATAGCATGTCCTAAATACAATACAATACGATGCTAGAGCAACAGAACCTTCTTCCTTTCCCTTTCCCTCCCTTCCACCTTCAAAACTGCTTGAAAACTGACCTGATGATTTCTCAGTTCTCGGGAACAGATTTTTTTTTTGGGGGGGTGCATGGATTGTGGCATTGGGAAGGGGAAATTGTCCTCTTCAGCTTCCACTGATTCAGCCAGTTGGATCCTTTCCCTTTCTCTTGAAATTCTAAATAATTTCATTACATCTATAGTTGCATTTGGGGAATCACCCTCACTGGATTCCATGCACTTGTGGAGAGGAGTGGCTTTGCCTTGCCCGTCTGTCACATTCCTGTCTTCCAGACCCTGTGGTGGCCCTTCCACAAAGTGGATGGTGATGATCTGAAGCAGAAACCTGCTCAGAGGGATTAGGGTTGCGGTGCAATCCAGTCCTTAAACTTTACACAACCGTTAAAATCCAGTCTTTAATGTTTTATTGTTGGGTGTTTTTTTTTGTTTTGCCTAAATGGCTAGCTACATTTTTGTTGGAAAGAGGTATATTTTAGCAAGCTCTACAGAAATTACCTTGAATAGTTTTGTAGATTTGACAAGTTATATAAAAACTAATATTGCCCAAGAATTAGCAAAAGCGGAGCACTGAATAAGAACAGTGCCGACTACATTTATGCATTGTAATATGCAACAACTCAGGAATTAGAAGACAGACTTGGAAGATCAGCAACAAAGGATCTAAAATATACATATAATTAAGTGTAAGGATGTGTCAATGAAGACCAAGGCCAGGACTGTCTGCATTATGGCAGCCCTGGTTACTATGAGCATGAAAGCTGGACATAAAAAAAAGCTGACCAAAAAAGAGAGAGATTGATTTGCTTGAAATATAGTGCTGAAGGAGAGCTTTGTGGACACTCTGGACTGCTAGAAAAACAAACAAAAAGGTTCGAGACGAAATCAAGACTAAACTTTCTCTAGAAGCAAAAATGACAAAACTGAGATTGGCATACTTTAGACACGTCATGAGAATGTAAGACTTGTTGGAGGGGACAATAATGGTAGGAATGTTGAGGGCAGCAGGAAAAGACTTGATGGCACATTAAGAACAACGAATACAATAACATTTGAAAAAAACTTGTGCAGCTGGCTTGATACTGCAGAATATTGAAATCTAGAAGATAATTTAGATGTTTCACAAATGCTGCATTACCAGATGTGAGCTACAGTCCACAAAGGCTTATATATATTAAAAAAAACTTGTCAGTTTTCACTTTCAGCATTCTTTCACTGTGTGAGATAAATATCTCAAGAGATTAAGAAATGTGGTGATGTAAGTAAATATGATACACCTTATAACTCTTCTCCTTTTCTAATGTACATGTAAATCAGCCATTGCAAACTGAGATGCAACTATTCACGTATTTCATATTTACAGCTTACGAATTTAACAGTTGCAGATGGTTTGATTTTTGTAGGGTATTTTAATGTTGCTTTTAAATGAAAAAATGAAAACAGTTGCAGATGGTTTGATTTTTGTAGGGCATTTTAATGTTGCCTTTAAATGGAAAATATGAAAATGTGTGTGCGTGTGCGTGTGCGTGTGTGCGAGAGAGAGAGAGAGAGACTCATCTATCTTGGTGAGAGAGAGAGAGAGAGAGAGACACTCATCTATCTTGGAAGACAACTAGTTATAGGCAATTATAATGCACGAGGGGAGGATCCAACCTCACTTCCAGTTGCAGAAATGCTTATGTTTGCATAAAAAAGATGCATAAATGGTAGCAGCCCACTTTGGCAGGGTCACATTACTGATTCAGTTTTTAATAATTTGTTATCAGTTTTCTAGCCAGGTGACAGATCATTTGATTTAGCGATTATGTTAATGATGTTTTGGCAGCAGCCTCAAAGTGCCCACAGGTTTTCACTTGGTAAGCATAAATAAGTCATGGGGGGAGGGGAATGAATCACCATTGGGCCAATGAAAATGTCATTTGGCAAATGAAATTAAAAAGCCAAGGTTACCCCTGTTAAGCAGCGCAAGAACGAATGCCCTACCTCTTGCATGTCTGGAAAAATCAATGGAATTTTGTTATTGCACACTTTTCCTCCACTAACACTGTGTCTGATTTAGCCCCCCTTTTTTGTAAATTATTTTGAAAAGGCAGTATACACTAAAATGCTTCCAATGAAAAATGAATGCCAACACAGAAGCTTCTGAAAGATTTCTAACTTAATAACAGACATGCTGGGTCAAGCAGCTGAAGCCTCCCAGTCTAGCTTGTGTTCCACTGCAAAATGGGCCAGCCACATAAGTCTGGTAAACTCAAGTTCAAGGCAATGACAACGGCTTTCATTTTGGTTTAATGAACCCTTAAAAAGGAATCACTTTTTTCTTGTGTTTTTGATGGATAGGTAGACTTCTTTTTCCCCCTTACAAAATGATGTAAATTAATTTAAGCTAACTTTCTTCTAGAGATAACGTATCTGCATATCTTTGCAGACATTAGCTCAACTCACAGTTGGCCACATGGGTCATATAATACATGAGAAGCAGCAGTAGTAACTCTAAAATTATGCATGTAATTACAGACTTTAAAAAATGACTGGCATAAAATTAAATATATCATTACAAGCTTAAGCAACCACCGATTGAAACTTTCAATATGTATGCAGATTTCCTTGTTTTTATTACATAGCTTGCTGTCTTCCCTGTTTCCACGAAAATAAGACCTAACCTGAAAATAACCCCTAGTAGGATTTTTCAGGATGCTTGTAATATAAACCCCAACCCCTAAAATAATCCCTAGTTAAGTGAAACCCACCACCATTGTACTGCAACCAGAATATGACATGACTGGATTTGAATAAATGTAGATTGTTGTACATGCAAAAAATAAAACATCCCCTGAAAATAAGCCCTAATGTGTTTTTGGGAGCAAAAATTAATATAAGACCCTGTCTTATTTTTGGGGAAACAGGGTTTTAGCAACAGCTATACTCAGTGGCCAAAATCTTGCATGACTATGCCATTGCAATGGGAACGATACTGATACTGTCATAGGCAGACTGCTGCTGCTGGCTGCTAAAAGACTTTAAAAAAAAAAAAAAACTTCCAGTATATACACGATTCTCACACGGCGAGATGAAGTGACATGCACATCAGAACTGGAAAAGGAAGTATTTTATTATTGGTAGTCTGCCACTGACCATGACTTCATTTCTGTTGTGCAGGCAGACAGTGCTCAACAAGATTTCAGCCAATGGCCTTTACACAGGAAGCACCCAAGAACACTTAACACCTCCAGTTGCTTCCAAGCCAACCTTAGCATCAGAATCAAGTAAAGATGGATTTAACATTTACATTAGCAAAACCTTAGGGGGGGGGGAATACTGCAGATAACACTATTATATACAGTCTTGGACATTTAAAAATATATATCTACTCTTATCCACTTGTGGCATAAATGATTAATCAGACAATTTACTAGGTGAAACAGAATAAGTGTTTGGCAAGAGATGGTGCAGCTCAACAGAAACAATTAGAAAGGTTTTCTAACCTGCATAAATATCTTGGACTTGGAAGGTCTTTGACCATGAAGCACTCGCCCCCATTTACACAGAAGCCTCTCTTATTCACATCACATCTTGTGAGATGACTTGTCCCAGTGGTGGATGTAGATGTGGCTAGAAGAAAGGAAGGGAGCAGGGAGGTCAGTATGTTTCAGAGTGGATATACATTTTATAAGACAAATTAAAAATGCTAGCATTTGCATTTTCTGTACAATATTGCAATAAGATATATTCAGTTTCTTGGTTACAAGAAACAACAACAGCTCGCTTCCTGAAATGTTTTGGGATTACACCACTTGACCTCTTTGTCCTCATGAAGTAAAACAGCAACAGTCAATTAAAACATAAAGCTAAATAGATCAAAATGTGTCTATAAAACTAAATAAACAGCACTCAACAGTGAAAAAGTGTTTCAGCAAACAAATCAACTTAAAAGCAAATACCTGATTGGATTAAAAAAATCTGTTCTTGCTCTAGACGCAGTGGTTCTTAACCTTTGTTACTCGGATATTTTTAAACTGCAACTCCCAGAAACCCCAGCCAGCGCTGTTGGTGGTGAAGGCTTCTGGGAGTTGCAGTCCAAAACTCCTGAGTAACCCAAGGTTAAGAACCAGTGTTCTAGAGCAGTGGTTCTTAACCTTTGTTACTCGGATGCTTTTGAACTGCAACTCCCAGAAACCCCAGTCAGGACAGCTGGTGGTGAAGGCTTCTGGGAGTTGCAGTCCAAAACTCTTGAGTAACCCAAGGTTAAGAACCAGTGCTCTAGAGGTACTTTTCTTTGAAATAACCTGCAAGAATTCATGCACAGACTATATTAATTAATTAATTTATACCCCGCCTATCTGGCCCACCGGACCACTCTAGGCGGCTTCCAAATATAAAATCAAATAATAAAACATAGACAAATACATAATAATCAAACAAGAACAGCAGTAAAAATAAAAAGGAAAAATAAGAAAAAATCAAGAGTTGGCTGGAGGGAAGGCCTGAATAAACAGCCATGTTTTTAATTGGGTTTTAAAGGTGCCCAGCATGGGGGCCGCGCGAATCGCCGGAGGGAGATTGTTCCAGAGGCGAGGAGCCACCGCCGAGAAGGCCCGGTTTCGTGTCTTCTCCTTCCGGGCCTCTCTCTGCGTCAGGCTCCTCAGCCTCACCTCCTGACTCGCGCGGGTGATCCAGGTAAACCTTGGTGGGAGGAGGTGTTCCGCCAAATATCGAGGTCCTAAACTGTTTAGGGCCTTATAAGTAAGCATTAAAACTTTGAAGTTGACACGGAAACAGATGGGCAGCCAATGCAATGCGGCCAGCGTTGGAGAGATGTGTTGATATTTTCTCACTCCTGTAAGGAGCCTGGCTGCCACATTCTGCACCACCTGAAGTTTCCGTGTCAGCCTCAAAGGCAGCCCCACGTAGAGCACATTACAGTGATCTAATCTTGAGATTACGAGCGCATGTTTGATTGTTACTAAAGAAATATTAATTGATTAGTAGCAGTATAATCTACATGAGCACAACTTGGGATGGGTAACAGAGATGAAACCTTTGGCAGTGATTGACTACATGATGCCCTCATGACTATGCCCTAGCTGAGGTGATTTTATATCTAGGGCAGGGAAGGGAGAGGGGCCTAGGTAAGGACAGAAGGAGCAGAAGGGAGCAAGGCTGAAAATCAGATAAAAAAAATTAGCTGGTTATATCATGAAATCAGAGGATCACTAATGAGGGAGCCTAATAATAAAATCACTGCATTAACCCATAATTTCGTAACAGCTCTTCAAAATTCTGATGCTTGAAGGTAATATGTTGTGAATAACACTTTACATTTGACCTCAACGAAGGGGTAATGATGTTGTATCTTCACAGGAACGAAATTTCTGGCATTTATTTTAATAGAACAAGTGACAGTCCTTCCAAAATATACATGCTTTCTTGGGTTACAACAAATATATACTGTATATATTTTTTGTATTTGTAAAGTGTATTGAAACAAATAATGTGCTAGTATGTTACATTTAAAATAAGACACATTTTTAAAATAACGGGTAACAAGAACTACATACTTCTTAAAATAACATCCAAATCTCTACATATTCTGTCTTAACAATGGTGCCTTTTTTATGATCTCCTAGTTAGGTGGGAGTCCCTTCTCCCTTTGCTGGGAGAATGATGTGTAAATATTCATCCCATGGAAAAGACTCAGGTGCTCAGATCCTTTCCGTGTGGACAAGCCCTTGAAATGTCCTCCCAAAATGAAAAGCAGGGACTAGCAACAGATATGATGCTCCCATGTGTCTGGGAGAATATTTAAAGAGCACCAGACTTGCATACAAAAATAGCAAGGTGATAGGGTAGCAAGACAGAAAAAGCCACCAAGCGTATGTCTAAGCCCTTCTGAGAAGTAATCTTTAGGACATCTTTGACACCTCTAAAGGGCTCTACATTCTAGCTTTGTCATGTTCAAGAGATAGAATAATAATACCTTGGGTTGGGAAATGATTTCAATTATCCTTCTTCTCCTTAGCTATTGTCTTATCTACAGATTGTGCTAAAGAGTGTACACATGTAAAAGATTTATTGTATATGACTTTCTGGATCAAATCTAAATTCCATCTCCCATCCATTCCACTTTTAAAACTTTTCCTCCTTGTACTAGACAAGACTCGTAGGTTTGAAAGCGAATGCCTTAATTCGAAAAGAAGAGCAATATTGTCTGCTTGAGCTCCTGCAGACAAAGCTTATTACTGCCACAAAAGCTAATGGAATGCTTTAAATTGAATTACAAGGGTAGTTGTAGAAGAGTCAAGCCTAAAGCTATCTATAATTGCTGTGGCCATCTTGCTTTGCACTCTTTCTTCCAGCAGCTGTGAGTGCAAAACTGTCCACCCCGAAGCTTTAGAGCAATAATTTGCTCATAGCAGTTATAGACTGTTGATAAATCTGGACTAAGTGGATAATTTAACAGCTATTTCTTCTCTTCAGGAATCTTTGAGAAGGGAACTGAGGCATCAGCCAGAGAAGTATGTATGTTTGTTTGTTTGTTTATGACATTGCTTAGGGTGCCTGCTTACTTACATTCTCTAAGCACTCCACAAAACAAAGAGTAACATAAAATATTAAAAGACAAAACAGGATCATTAAAACACAACCATGAAGAAAATATGCAGCATGGACAATTTCTAGAAGACTTTGTTTATTTAAAAGAGGGTGGTTTAAAAAAGCCTAGATGAAAAAATAGAGAAAGTACTGGCTAACCTTTAGGAGAAATTACTGGGCATGAGTGCCACCACCAAGAGGGCCCTTTCTGACTGGCCACTTGGGAGGAACACCCAAAGCAGGGACTTGGATAGGTTTTCAGGTTTGGGTAGGAATATTGGACAGAACATTTTCCAGGGAACTCGGACCTACCTTAGAATTCTCATTACCACAACCAGAGTATGATTCCCACCTTGTACTAGATTATTGTATATATATTATTTTACAATCAGATATGATCTTATTCTTTCAGAATAATGGATCCAAGTTTAACTTAAACCATGTCTGATGGAACTCCATATGCAGAAACAAGTGGTCTCTTGGCCATGACACCTATGGTGTAACAAATCTGTTTGTCTTTAAAATAATAATAATAAATGTGCCATCAAGTCAATTCTGACTTAAGGTAATCTTTTTCAGGGTTTTCCAGATAGAGAATACCTAGATTTACGATTCCCAAGTCCCTGCAAGCTAGTTCTATTAGCAGAGAGCACACTGGGGAACTGAACTTGCAACCAGATACTTAAACCACTGAACTATCAAGCCAGCTTGTTAGTCTTTAAAGGGTTCCCCAAATGTCTTTTTGCTGCAACAGACTAATGCAGCTGCCTCCTGGAAACATAGTAAACACAGTTCCTCTAGTATTAATACTGTGTGCAAGAGATATTCTTTTCACTAAATCCTTTTTATATTTATTCTTTTGATCTCTGACTTTCACTGCTAAATATTTGAAAGTAGCATCAATAAAGGAATACTGGGGAAAGCAGTATTATCCTTGAGAGGTGCCATCATTTCATTTTAACTATAAGCTGAATAAGTACCATCGAATTTGAAACTGAATAAATGTCACAACTGTACAAAAAATCACAGATACTATTGTTATGAATCTGTACAAGACAACAAGACTCTTCTCTCCTAGAAAGCAGGAAACTTGTGCCCCGACCAAGATGTTTGATACATATAACTGTGCTTGAACCGGAGAATTAGAAAAGCACACGTGCTGACCAAATGTCTGAAGCGATCACAATATGACAATTACAAATGTCATATATCATAACAGTACAAATTTCATTCGTGCTCTTGTCTTCATTTTTGAGGCTTTTGTCTAATATTTTTGGGCAGCTGATAAATCCAAGTGTTATGCCTTTGTTATCTGAGCAGTCTTTTTTTTCATTCTTCTGAAATTTAGGATCTAAATATTAATATGCATTCATTTTAACAGAAATTCCTAAATAAAGCCTGTTTAATAATTTTCATTCATCTCCAGAAAAAAGAGTTTTTATTCCCACTTACCTGGGACATCGTTGGCCTTTTTTGTACTTGGAGATATAGAGGGACATGTTACATTAAATTCCTTCTCTTTTAAAAGAATTCCCATTATACGGCTAAAGCTTGCAAATCCCCTTTGAATATCTTTTGAATTGCCTTCGACTGGAAAGAGAAAAGTCTCAAAAAGAGTCCTAATCTTCCCTAGGTGCCTTCAGATCTGTGTGAAATGAAGTACATCAGATGCCTATTCCTATTTTAACAGAGTTTCTGCTGATGTCGGATGTAACTTCAGGCAGATACACTGCTAGATACACAAGGTAAGAGGTACAATGTCATTGCTCAGTGAGAGAAAGTGCCAGCCTCAAACATGAATCAGATTCCTTTGCTGAACTGTAAGTAGACAAGGATGTTTCCTTTTGTAATAAGAAAGATGCCTGCAGGAAGAAAGTGCTCGCTATATCACGGGTATCTTTGAGTAAGTACCACTGGTCAATGTTGTTAGCAGAGGCCCAGCTGAAACTTAAGGCACTACAAAGGACAGAGGCTGAAATGGAGAGAAACACTGGAAGGCCAAGAATAATATAATTTGACAT